ATAGAAAGAAGGTCGTTTAGCTGAAGAACATTTTTTTTCGTATAGAAAAATAATGTGAAATACATGATAACACTCAGAAGATACTTCATTTAATTCTGAGTATTTCATATAATTTCATAGACAGTAATTTGAATAGATTTTATCAGCGAAATCTTTTACTTTTAAGAATTTTCAATAAATAAAACAATTCTTTTCTATCATCTATTTCTCAATTTTCATCATTGATCCTTGTGTCAAGTAATACATTATTCAAGTGGCAAGGAAAATAAGCAATAGTGAAGTAAGAGTACGACATTTCTCTTGTCTTTACATGCTTACATTAGATTACGTTGATAAAAAAGTGAAATGTGTAAAAAACTGATAGTACTTATAAAACCTAAACTCAATTTCATCTTTCTACTATCATTTTATCTTGTATGTAGTTTAGTATAAAAAAAACTACTCACAAAATCTAGAAATAGAATTGCTTTTATATCACTGTTTTCCATCTAAAATGTATAAATTTTTTTGTAATAATATCCACCATCACGAAATGATCAAATATAATAAGTGAATGATCGTTACTTGTTTATTACATTTATTGTCTACTTATAATTGATACCTATCAACGAAGAAAATTCAATTTTATCTTATGACAGATTTTCATGAATATAACCATATCAATATCTCAAGTATTGTTAAAATGAACATCACATTTTGTAAAAGAAGAAAAGTCAATCTTCTGGATTTTGATAATTTTCCAATGCTCTATGTATCAACATACACAATGATAGTAAGATTAATACGTACAATCAATCAGTTATTATAACTCAACGAAAAGTTTTCATTAAAAGAGACTTGAGTTGATGAATTAATTTGTCTTATTTCCTTATATCACAATGAACTCTATGAAAAACTCTCTTTCGATTCCGTGATTAAGTTTTGACTCGAAAAATTATTAATATTAGAGTTTCAAAACATTGTCACAAAGTACACTTGAAAAATCTCTTACCGTCCGTTTCTTAGTGCCAAAAAGTATTCACTGAAAGTTTCGTTATGTATGTGAGACTAAGAGATTTTTAAATTTCTTACAAAACAGAAAAAAAAAAGACATTATAACTGATGATTATTTTCTATAGTGTCAAATATTAAATTATACAATTTTTTGAGTTAGTTTTTCTTTTCCTTTTGAAATGTAAAAATAGAAACAAGATTAAGTTACTCATACAATTTTACATTTTTTCTTGTATTTAATTTCAATTTATTTGTACTTTTTCGTATAATAGAAACGAATATTTCGAAAAAGTTTATCTTCTTAAAAAAAGTCTTTTTTTTGCAATCTTATTATTAACTAATAAGCGCATGAAATATCAACTAGTGCTACGACGTCATTATATTTTTGATTTTGTTGGATTTATCGATAAGTAAATGTACATACGTATATATTGAACACGAAGATATAAAGATTTGTTTAAAATTAATTGCTATAAAAAGATATCTACTGATTTGAACTTGCTCGATTGTCTATACTAAAAGAGAAATGTTAATTGTTTTTCGCTTTTCGTTTTACTAGGATTTTATAAATCAATCAGTTATATTTTGGAGAAGATACTTTACAAATAGAGTGCTATAACATGTGCAAAAAAAAGAAATTAAAACAATAGTTATTATTGAAATGACAAAAAACAAGATACTTTTTGGAGAAGAAATAAAAAACAACATTTTAAAAAATTTATCTTTCACCTAAAAATGAAGTATCCATTTAAAATAAGGAATGAGTTAGACAAATAATTTCTTTTTATAAGGAAAATTAAAAAACAAAAAAGTCCACAGCATAAATAACTATTATATTGTATGTTATCATCATTCGAGTATATGAATTATGATAATAATTGACTGATCTTGAAACATAAGATTTCTTTGTTGTTATTGAAATCCTATTTGTATCAAAAGAAAAAGAAAATAGAACTATCTCTCATAGAGATCGACGAAATCTCATGATATTTCTTCCATGTAAATCAATCTATTTTCAAATAATTATGTATTTATAAATATACGAATGAAAAATAGATTGAATTTCAAAAAGAAAAGCAAAAACTGCAAATAACGAGCATTGGTTTCTTCTAACAATATCACATGATAGAAGATAAGTAGATTCAAATACTATTCTGAAAAGTTTTTTTTCTTAACAAATAAACTTTATTTGAATTATTTTTTCATTAGTTGCATATTATTGTGTCATCGTTCTTATTTAAATTAACATATATTTTGTTGTTTTTCAATTGAATATGAAATAACTTTCCTGTCTATTTAAATATTTTTACTCTAGAAATCAATTTTATTTAAATAACAATTGAGAATAATAATCAAAAACGAATATCTATATGAAGAAAAGAATTTTTCAAATGTTCAACAGTAGAGTAATATATTAATCAAAGAAATATATTAATTTTGAACAATTAATTCGTGTTGAATGTCTTTCAAAATTATGTGTCACTTTTTCTAGTAGTCGATAATCACCAATAAGATAAACCCTATTTGATAAATGGGTTTTTGTATCAAGTAAAAATTCTTCAAAATAATCTTCATGAGCCTCCTCCAGGCCAAGTTGAGTAAGATGATGATATTCAGTAATCGATAAATTTTTGTTTACATTGGTTGATTTGTTACATTGTTTATTCTTTTGCGCTTGACGATTACTTACTTTTAACTTTTTCAATAATGGAAATGATTGAGCAATTTGAAAAAAAAATTCATGTTCAAAAGGACGATCATCCAATAACGACACAGTCTGAACACATTTGAATAAACCACCTGGAAATGTATTTGTTATATCATTGTAATATTTCCATTTATATGGATATGAAAAAATAAGACATTGACTATATTTCCATTTTTCAAAATAATCAACACAAGAAATAACTTGATTATATTTAAAATCTTTGAATGTTTGTTGAATATCTTCATTTGATGGTAAACTAGTTTGGTTAAGATCATAATTGATTGATCGTATATTAAATGTAAATGTGTTTAATTGTAACAGATAATCAATAATATTTGTCTTCAAATCATCACCATCAATAAATGTTTTTCTTTTACAAACAAACTGCAACTCAAGTTTTTCTTAATTGGTCATTCGATGTAGAAGTGGTAGAATTAAATCGTCATATCTATATGTATATATATTACAGGACAACGAAAAGCATCTTAGTTTAGGTAGTTTTTCCTAGAAGAAATAATAAAATTAATTTATTTGAATTAATCAAATATTAATCGAAATAATTTACTTTATTATTTATTTTTCGACGCGTAAAAATGAATCTAAGATAAACATAAAGTGTATGAAGTTGATTAAAACGTCTATCAAGTAAATAAATACAATCAATATAATCCTGTAAATTGACATGTAATTCTAACAGAGTTGAAGAGAAAACAGTTGGAGGACAAAGAGCATATGATAATTGTTGAGAGCAATTTAATAAATATGGACCGAAGTTTAAATATTGTAAATTGGTGAATGTATCGCACATACGTTTAAATAGAAGTCTAATTTTTTCTGTTGTATCGACTATAGGACTTGCACCAAAACCGATAATAAGTGATGAGATCTGATTTTTATATCTAAGAATTAAAGTTTCCTCTAAATATAAATTGAAAAGTATATATAAAAAAATAAAAAATTTTAAACATTTTTAATATTGATCAAATCATAGCATACATTTTCTTAGTCTTGTTTAAATAGATTGAATTTCTTAATTAAATACTTGTGTTGTACGTCAATATGTTTTTGTTTGTGCTTCCTTTTTCATCTTCTTTATATAATTTTTTCTTTCTTTCTTTGTTTCTGTTTGCTTTCTCTTTTACTTATTCTAATCTTCTCATTTTTCTTATTTTCATTTTGTGTATTAGTGCTTTCCTTCCTTTTTTCTTCATTCTATGCTCTACTCATTTTCTTTTCCTAAAATAACTTATGGTATAGTATGATAACTTGTAATCAGATATATTTACTCCTAAATATGTTGTTATACATTATTGAAAATTCTATTGTAAAATTTTAAATTCACCTGTATGTAAGCACATTCTGAGTGTAACAATAAAAAGTAATATTGAAAAAAAAATTCTTCTAATCTGTGTCAACTAGTGCCCGGCGTGACCAACTTTTTTGGTCACGGTCACGGTGAGCCCAGGCCGTGACCGTGAGTCACGGCCCTTTTCAGGGTTTCTCAACATGAAAAAAAACTTTCCAGAAAGAGCTATTGCAATGTTTCCCTGCCAGATTCTTTATGGATTCAGTCAGAATCCTTCCAGCATCCGCTTTTTCCTGAGGGAACGGCGAAATCCTGTAAGAAGTGTGTATTCACGAAGTTTCAAGATCCTAACAGAGTTCGAAAAAGGATTACATCAGGATTCTGAACGGGTCCCCGTTGTTGTTGAACTTGGAATAAATTTGAAAACAATATGTGGCTGTGGGTGTGAGCAGAACTTCTACTTATATTACCTGACAAGAGCGGTCACTGATATACTCTCTTGCTGACTTTTGGTGCGACGCTCCTCAGTTTTAGCTGCAAAAAGTTGACTGGGTCCTTGTACCAAGATCCGTGTCTGATCTTGTCTAACATTTGATGAAATCTGGAGAGAATCCTCTCCATTATTTCTGTTAGGATTATAACCAAAATCATGAATGAATCCTTCAAGGATCCTGTATTTATTATCTGCAAACACATCTAGCCAAGAACGAAAAGAAATCCTAAACAGGATTCTGTATAACTGAGAAATCCTGGCAGCAGAAATTGAGCCGAGATTCTGAGGAAAACTTGGCAAGACCTTGGACATTCAGGATCCTCACAGATCCTTGCAAAATCTCCAAAGAACTTAACAGAATCGAGACTAGGATTCGATTTACTATTAAAAGTGATAATCGGGGGAGGGTAGCTTCGCGCAGGTGCCCGTACTTCTCCTCAGGGGTTTCCAAAATCACGAATACTAGAAACTTCCCAATTTTTCATAAAAACCGACGACCGAGTGAGGAGGGGTAGTTTCGCGTAGGTCTCCCTACTCCCCTTCAGGGGTTTCCAAAATTTCAAAAAAGTTCCCGTGACTAACCGTGACTGCCGTGAGTCACGGCGGTCACGCCGGGCACTAGTGTCAACCAATTTTGTAACAAATTTATTCTTCTATTTTTTTTTCACTATTTATTCAATGTCATTAAAGAAATTTTTGTATCAAATAAACTAAACTATCTTACCAGAAAAGAGATATTCAACTTCTTCTATGTGAAATTCATACAAACCAAGCCCAATTAAATTTGGATAATATGTAGAACGAAGAATACATCTCATATATGATATGTCAAGATTAAGCCATTGAATTTTATTATGAATTTGAGGTAAAATTTCTGAACAAAATCTGTTAAGCATTCGATAAGATACTGAATCGATACGATCATCCGAGTAACACTTTAATAACGTTAATACTCTAGTAAAAATTCGATCATGTACAATTTTATTTAATTGTTTATTAACACCTAATAAAGAGTAGAGTATTTCAACACCATCGAGTTTTTTAAAGATAATCATAAGAATTTCATCAGGTAAATCAGTTAATTGAATGCTTGCATATTCCACATTCATTTTTTCTTTTATATTCTTACTAGCTTATAAATGTCAACACTTATATATACTCATATTTATTGTATTTCGCAGACGTCGTCAAAGAAAATAAGAATGAATTTTTTGTTTCTACTTATATAGTCGAAATTGACAATGAATGGATGAATGAAAGAATGAACGAATGATATTTTTTTTTAATCTTTATTCTCGATCAAGGCCTCAGACAGACTACGCGAATTAAAACTGAATTAACCAATGAAGTTGCCAGAAAAATTAAAACAGAATTAAGTCATCTTTTTGAGATGACTTAAAGTTAATGCGCCAATAAAATTTCAAGGCGTTTAACCAATAAGAGAAACACTAGTAGCGTCAATAAATGTCTATTTTTTTCGTTGAGATTGAAAATTGAGTGGGATTTACCACTCTTCACGCATAAGAAACCATGTTGTAACATGCAAACAAAAAGTATTGTGAGTGTTAGAGTAGCATTTGCGGTATAANATGTCGCTAAGCTTTCAAATAAAGAAATTCGAGCTCTGAAAGCTTTATTTATAATGATAGATAATTGTTACTATTTAGTTCCTACCTGTCATCTGTGTTCTGCATCAAACTATGGCAACAGCTGCTCCGACTGTACACAAACGAGTAGTGGCTGCGACCTTACTTGCACCTGCTTGTCGATGTCGCAAGGTTCCATCAACACGTCAATAACACTTACACCAGGTGTGGGAAATGGTTGCTTGCTTGAAAATATCGATGGAAGACTTGTCTGCTCGAGTTTCTGTACTTGAGCAGAACTTCAATTATAAGTTTTTATATCATGAGAGTGCTATCAATCATAAAGATGGATTCTCGATTCTTTTAACTTTTCTTTCATAAGAAATGATTTCTTGTGTGAACTGGGGAGTTGAACGTAAATAAAAGGATTTGCTCTCGCACAAGTAATTCTCATCTCTCGGAAGACTTTTTTGGGATGCCGGATCGAATTCGATCGATTTCATCATGTCTTGAGATGGATGGAACGGGGTGCCTTTTCCGTGAAACAGGAAGACATCAAACGTGAGGGATTGAATTTGATTGCTATTTAAGCCGAAACCAAGTCATCATACAATGCATTTCGAAGGAAACTAACTTCATTCGTCATCAAGTATATTTGGTTCTATCACTACATTTCAATGAAAATGTTTGAAATATAAATGTCTAAAAAAGTTATTTGAAAATGATTTTCAACAACATTCGACAGATGAAAAGTTTGGCTAGCTCAGTTCCTATGGCGCTGCAATGCGGAGTTTACATATGTTCTTTAGTCTTAATGAACTAAATAATACGAAATAGGATGTGGGATGTAGGTGTGAGTATGAGTATGAGTATGAGTGTGGAAGTTGGCGTGGGCGCCGGCGAGAAGCAGAACGGTACCAACACCCCACACTAAATAAAATAGGTTTATCATTGAACTTTAAAAGTTCCGCATTCATGTACCGAACCATTTTAAGTTCCGTGGAGTGAAAATCGTTTTGGGGTTTATGTTCAGAACCTTTTTAAGTTCCGCAGATTTCAGAGAGTTTCGCAATTCTTCAACCAAACTCTTTGCGAGTTTCGTAAATTGGGCACGAAACGATTGATAGTTTCGCAGATGATCAAAAGGTTTTGTGTATTTTACACTGAACGGTCAATAGTTTCGTAAGGTATCAGACAGTTCGGTATATCTTACACGGAAAGGCCAATAGTTCCGTAGGTTATTAAAGATTAGATTCGTTCGGAGAGTATCCCCGGTAACTGCATTAAATGCTAGCATATGAGATATAGGAGATATAGAGATATAGAAGATACAGAGATTTAGGAGACATAGTAAACAGTGATTTATTTTTTATGATTAATTTTTTCGAGCAAGGGTGGGCAAGTTGAATCAATATATTTGAATGGATCGCTATTCAAAGTCAAATACTATACAAAGATTATCTGCACTAGTTAATGAATGTCTCCAATATCTCTATATCTCCTATATTTCTATATCTCCTATATCACCTTCCTCGACGCTTAATTGAGTTTCCGGGGAAACTCTCACAGCGCATCATATGTTATTAGAAGGTCTTGTATATTTGTCACGAAACGACCAATAGCTGCGTAGAACATCAGAGAATTCCGAATATCTTACACAGAACGGTCGATGGTTTCGTAGACTATTCCATGATTTCGCAGTTTTTCATGGAATCTTGCATGCTTACTTTAGGCACTAGTAGATTTCGTATGCTTCGTGCGAAACAACATATCGCCTTGTACAAGATTCTACGCTCTATATTTCTTTTGTAAGCAAGAATGGTTCAGCGTTAGCTTTACTTTTGAACTTACTGAAAGATTATCTATTTCCAGTAGTATAAAATGAGAACATCAGAGCTTATTAGTAAAAGTCAAAAGAGTGAGAAACAGAACATAAAAAAATGGATCCGTACACTTTTCCGGAACAAGCCATAGTGAAGAGATAAAAAGACGAAAGAATCAGACTAAATATGGAACAAGGATACAGTTTATTAGTCAAATCGAGAAAATTATTAACGTTGTGATTAGAGCAAGAAGTTAACAATGACAATAAAGTATTGACGATAGGATGTGGATGTGGGTATCAGGGTGAGTAAGGAAAAGAGAAAAGTCCACAAGCACACCCACACCCGTGCGTGCATAAGAAGCGTTTCCTATAAGTGTGATAAATATCAAGTGTATTTCTCAAGATCTTATTGAATTCTGAGATAATTCCATAATACTCATTGGTTTTCAACTTTCTAAAATCAGTATCATATCTAATCTAGCTTTTATTTGATGTGTTTCAGTCAGATTAAAAGAAGAGTTACACTGCTTGAAGGACAACGTTGCTTTCCGCATGACCGATAAAAAATAAATTCATATAGATATTCTCATTGCACCGAACAGCTTAAGTCAGAGATACTACAAGCGGTTATTTATAAGAAGGTAGGTTTTCCGTTTCTAAATAATTGAAACTGAATTTCAAACACACTGTCGAAAAATTATTGCAAACGTTACCCAGATTTTCATTAGACAAAAAAGAGATAGTGCTAAGTAATGTATTATATAGTTTCAATGGGCAGAGTGACAAGATCAATTATATGGTTCATGATGGCACACTTTTAAGTGTCGGCATCGGAAATCCACAAGACTATATATTTTTTAGTCAGAGGCAGTGATTTTTTAAGACAATTAGAAGAACCTATTTAAACAATCAGCTATAGAAAGGAAGGGTAGCCATATGTACTTGATTTGATCCGAAGTCAGTGAATAGTGCATATTCTATATTAATTCGGTAACTACAGCAACATTATAAAAATCTAATTTAGATAGATGCAACACACGGTTAGCGTGGAGATATTTTTGACAGTCCAATTAAAATTCACCTGAAAATCTGACAATAATCGAATTTATTCTTTGAATGTATCCTTCAATTCATAAGTACGAACAGATAGAAACTAAAATTGGCCGTTATATTTCATAGAATTAGTTCAGCTGGTACTGGGAGGCCTTTTCAAAAACTAGTTATGCGCGACAGCATAACCCCATATTTTTCGTTCCAAAGTAGATCTAATAACTGGAGAAAATGCTTGCCTATAGCTTATCAGAGTTTCCTTGAAAGAGACAACGCGCCAATGTTTTTCTGGAGACCAACACAAAAGACGTCCTCCCCAAATACTATCAACGTAATATTAGTTTGGGTGCTGGGCAATATGCAGAATTTTAAAAAATCGCTGGGCAATAAAATTTTGAGGACTGTACACTTGCCTAATGTCCACCCGATGGATACGCCACTGGATCTAACATTCTAATAGTTACCAAAAAAAGTCTTTCTCTAAAGGCAACCGAAATTTTGTCACAACTGGGGGTCGAAACAGTCATTAATTCTCACAGCTGAAATAGAGCCACGTGTCACATTGAACCTGTGATGCATCATCTCGTTTTGTATATCTTGTATAAGAACAAACGATAACAAACACGTCTATAAAGAGTTCTTCAGAAAAAAATTTCCGAAATGTCACCCTGCTGGGGAAAACCACTCTATCTTCACCTTCTCGCTATCGTTCATTTGGCAAGGTGCTCCCATGAGACAATCTTTGGTTTTTTACTTCTGGCATTTCAAGTGATCTATCTTTTGCAAGAATTCTCCTTGCAATAGCTATCATAGAGCATGATCTAGAAATGCCAAATGTGTCCCTCCACACACGTATTGAAAGCAAGGTCACCCAAAACTTTGTTGCACCTCGAAATTTCTCTGCACCAGAGCACAGTTAAGAGCACATACCATGCTCAATGAAAGACCTGCTGGATTTCTATATGAATTATAAAAATCGACCCAATCTAATTACTCGTCTGGATGTTACAGGGAAACCAAATTTTCAAAATCTCACTCTGAAGTGCGAAGCAGCCTTACTATTTTAGATCTTACCTGTCGTTCTTCGTAAAAAATACTTGTGATAGAGAACCTTACGCTATGAAAGTATTCCTTCTTCAAAGACACATATCTTCCTATAATTGCAATATCCATAGTTACGGCGCACTATGAATTCCGAATTGGTTACGTGTCACTCTACCATTGTGGGATATATCGTAAAGTTCTGCTGAACAGAAAGATTCTTAGGCCGCAAATTTGTACCACTGAAGTAACCTCATGATCTCTCTATTCGGTATGCATTTGAGTTCGATCGATCACTCCTTTGGGGTGTTCTAAGAAAAATTTAACATGCCAATCTACAAGACGAATGAAATCTGAAATTTCTGGACAAGATTGAGTGCTTATCGGCAGGTGAAAGTTGCTTATTGAGAAACATTTTACATAGGCTGTGTACTGATCTAGCTGTGCTGCAGATGGTAGTATTTTGGTTTAGCACAGTTTTGATATAGGTACTGATGTGAAGTGCTTTGTGTCACTATACAAAATCATGAAAGTGTTTGTCAAATTGTAGACTGACTGCTCGGGATACAGTGCGAATGAGATATGTGGTGGCATGGTAGGGATCGATAGAGTGTGAAAGGGTGTAGAGAATGATGGATTGGTGAGCGAAGTTGTTACATTTGCAACTTTATTTTAAAAATGTTTTCTTTTCCTTTATAATGAAAAAACAGGATTTTTCGGTGTAAACTCCCTACCCATGTGAAAATCTTACCGATTGTAAACTTTTCGCAAGCTGCTTAGTGACGCTTAGACAATAAAAAGCTCTGAAAAGTGCTGAATCTTCTAATTTTAAGCAGTTTTAAGCGGCTTCGTAATAAAAGCTGCTTAGGTCAGTTGAAATCAGGAGAATTGCGGCGCTTACAAGCACTGCTCGGTGAAAGAGCTTTCAAGCGCTGTCATTATCATGAAATCCAAGCACTTGTAATTGCATCAACTTTTTAAATTTGATGGTGTGGGTGTGAGTGTGGATCTTTTGTTCTATCCTCATCAACACGTACACACACACCGAAAGTGTGCGCCTCATCGTTTTCGAACTTCTTCCAATCATTACCACATTTCTTACTGCAATAATGCATCATGCATGATATAGCTCCTGTTGTAAAATGCCATGTATGTAGCAAAAAAAGAAAAGCTCCCAACCAGTAATTGCCACTTGTTAGAACCAGTCCAGTACGTCAGATAGTAAAGCCACCATAATTAAGATACCGTACAAGAGAAAAGAGACCAACGGAGTAAACTTTGCCTTTATTGGCTGCATTACTTTTGAATCCTTTATGTTGAAACTCCGAAATCAGTTCTGTCAAAATACTCACAGTAAAGAAAGAAATACCAACCTATTCTAAAGTGCCTAATCCATTGGATTGACAATAGATGAAAGAAAGTAATGTAGCAAGAGAATCAGTAACTATATCCAAAATGCCTATAGTAAATGCCATCGAATAACTAATTTATTCTTCCAGAATGCATTTCATATGGAAAATCTGTTTGATAGCACATGCTACTGTCATAACCACTAGAATAAGTCCCTTTTGGCCTGGATTAATCATGGTGATCCCAGTGTTCGATATAATTTGGCTCCCATAACAGGTACAACAATGAGGTATCGAATATAGGAATCAATGACACGAAAAATTGAAAAGCAAAGATGTGGCAAAGGATTCCAACCCGTTTTAGATCGATCCAAGTAATCGTGAAACTTTTTAGATTGATTTGACATAACAATAAATTCTTAAGAAGAGTGATTTTTATGAAGCAATGAAGGAATGAATAAAAAAAGAACCGAAAAAATGGTGATATGCTTACTTCACTATTGATGTTGTTCGTTCGTGATCGTTGCTTTGATTCTACCACTCAGCCAAAAATTTGTTTTACGATGGTTGTGCTCGGTGTGCACGTGTATTCGTATCATGAAGAAAAGAACGAAAAGAAAAAAAATCTGGTGTATGTACTCGAACACTATTGCATTAGCAAATGTGAGCAAAAAAATTCGTAAAATTGACAGCTCGATCTAATATCTTTTCTCTATACAAACAATCAAACTACTAATGTAATATTTGATAGTTTTTAACAATGACTCTTAGGCAGTTTTCTTTAGTAAAAGTGATTTTTTTATTTCAATTCATATAACTTTTGATCTTTTGTTTTTCTAACTATAACTATGAAGATATTGTCCTTCTGCATACAAAAACTAGCAAGCTTCTGTCAGTCTTATAGGGATTTCGTGAATATCATCGAAAACATTTTGTTGCTTGCTTTTCCTACATTTAGTTACCAAAATGTCGACCAACTGCATTTTAAACATAGATGGATTACGGTGAAAAGTGGAATAAATCTTCTCTGATTAAAAAAGAAGTTCTTCTAAGGCCCTATCAGAAGATCTTTGGAGCCGTCATCCGACGTTTTGATTATGTGGAACAGATTTCATGCTCGAGTAGTGGTAAAAATCGCAAGTCGCTAGTTGTGTACGTTTCGAAGTCGTGCAAATTTTTCGACATTCAGTCTATTATGAAAAAGACAGTCAAGGAGCGAGTGTGGGTGTGAGTATCGGCCGTAGGTATGGTCCTAGTTGCTCCCTTGAGTTATACCGATATTCAACCCCACACCGTCACTCACACCCGACATTCACACTAACACCCACACCCACATCCACACTCTTCTCTGAATGTATTTCATCAAACTGACAACAATTATGATATCAATCATAATAATCTTCAAAGGACTAAACAGGTGTTATCAATTGTGTTGCATGAACAGTGTTCATCACATGCTACTCATATTTACAATCGGTCAGTTTTTGCAGAACCGATTTTAGAAAACAAGCATGGCTATTGGGATCTTGGTTTAGGTAGAGCTTTATGGCGTGGTTTTTATTCGTGTGTTGTCTTGGCCAAAGGTCATTATCAATTACTTATGAATCTTGATGGTAACTATCGAAGAAATAAATTTATTTTAATACGACTTTTAGCGTCTTTTTATGTCGGTTGTAGTCAGTTATAGAGTTTTCATGAAAGCACAATCGTTCCTGAACTTTCTTTGTGATGTTATGCTTTAAAGTCCATTTGGTAAGAGGCGTTATAGAAATAACCGGAGGATTCAAAAAGCTGAGTTGAAAGATGCTGTGGAATTTCTTGATAAAAATACCAGTCCTAATTATTATGCTGAAAGAGAATTTTTACTCGAATATAGCAAAGGTAAGTGTCTCTACTTTCTATGTAAAAGTAAACTGTATTGTGTAAAATAAGGTCTCTCCGTACGATCACATGCAGCAGATATGATTATTGGCTATACAATCGATGACTTAGGTGAAGCAGCAGCAGAACAAACATTTTCATGGAAAATAAACAACGATGAATCTGTTGAATCTGTTGTTACGGTCGAAAATTACTATAAAGAAAGATATGGGATTCAAATAAAGTTAGTATATTAACATGACCCTTGCTAATATCATAGAATTTTGTTTTCTTAAGCAGATATCCAACATTGCCTACTTTGAAAATGCATAACGGATCATTCGTGCCAATGGAATTTATTAATTTTCAACCTATCAAAGTGGAAAACATAATCGATAAACAGAGAGCACTTCTTTGTTTAAAATCAACCATAAAGCCATCGGAATATTGTCAATCACTCAAATAAATTCGTCAGAATCCAAACCAACAATGTTTTGAACAGGACCCATTTGTTGTTGCATGGAATTTGAATATCTATGTCAAAATGATCACAGTATCGGCGCGTATTTTACCAACTCCTGAAATTATTTATAATGACCAATTTCACGTAAGTCAGAATGAATTTTTGGCACGAGGTGTTTAGACTAGTACTCGAACTCGATTTAAATGCCCAATAAATTTTCCACCTGTATGGGCTTTGATTAACTTATCATCATCACTGAATAAAGAATTGTGTGCTGTTGCTGAAGATCGAGGTATAAACTGTTCTCCACCTGTTATCTATGAAGAATACAATGTTCAGCAAGATTCAATCAATAAGACGATTCATATACTGCAAAATATGATGGAAGAAAATACTGATTGTAAATTTTTTATGGTCATCTTACCAGAGAATAAAGATATTAGAGATAAAATATATGGTGATTTAAAAACACTGGTTAGATGATTAGTAAACACTTAGAGTCAGAATGTTTGCGCTTATTTTTTTTTTCAGTGTGAATTGGAATATGGCATAGGAATCGTCTCTTAGATGATTAGATTGAAGCCAAACGAAGGCCAAAGTCGATGGGACTATTCAAGATTAAATAGTATTTTACTGAAAATCAATCCCAAACTGAATGGAATTAATTCTATTCTTCACGTTCCGTGAGTTGCCATTTGTTTCCATCATTGACATATGAGTATTAATAATTGACTGTAACAGTCCACACACTCAATTTTTCAATGACTGATACAGAATAGTTGTTCAAATCGTTGGCATAAATTAGTATTTTCAACGCCTAAATATAAGACAGACCAATGTTTTCTGAATAGCTTGCATTAGGAGTAGGATACACACAGCAAGATGCCTTTTTTGAAAACAATTTTATAGAAACTTTTACCCGTTGAATTTCTACTTATTCTATGTCCATTTGGTGGAACATAGTCCTTCTCTTTTGACTTACACATAGATGACATGTTTAGCTAGTTCTATTGAAAAGTGAAAAGGATCTTCCATAGATCCCTGACTTCGGAACATTTCCAAAGAAGTCAAGCAAGCAGGAATAATTCATCCAGGTGACTAGAATAGTAATATTTGTTTTCAATTTCAATATGATCTAAAGCCATTATATGAAAGATTTTTGAAATACTGTCTCTTTACAATATGGTGACAAAATTTGCTTAATTGGTCATTCGATGAGTCAATCATATTTTGACCTGTTTCTACGATTTCCGATGTTTTGTTTTGAACAGTGAACATTGCAGATGTCTATATTTTGCCTATCAAAAATCACAAATAAAGCTCTGACATGTGTCGATAATAATGAATGCTCTTGACCTATTTTACAAAAAAATATTTTTAGTGATGTTATCAAAATTTTTTTCTCATGTGGTCATCGATATATGTATGTTGGTGTTGATCTGAATCATATAGTATCTGGTCCAAAGAAATATTCGACTGTAGCTGTTGTAGCACCAACCGATGATATACCGAATCGTTATTTTAAAGAAATTTACGTACAGGAACGATTACCCGAAGAACGAAGTCAAAGTAGAAAATATGTTGTCGACATGAAAGCGATTATGAAATCTCTGATTAGTCAATAGGATCAACATCACGGTTATTCACCAAAAGGGATTGTTATCTATCGTGATGGAGTCTCAGATAGTGAATTTGATACTGTATTCTACAACGAACTCAAGGGAATACGAGAGGCTTGTGTTGAGTTATCACGCGTCTACCGACCTTATCTTACTTATATTGTGGTAAATAAAAGACATCATACAAGAATATTTCCGGATGATTTAAATAGCAACGTTCCAGCTGGTACTGTTGTTGATTCACATGTTATTACTAATCCTACAACTTATGACTTCTTTTTAAATAGTCATCATGAAAATAAAGTAAATAAAATCATTTAATAATATACATGCACTATCATATATGTAGGGAACAAGCCGTGCAATACATTATCATGTGCTATATGATGATAACAAATTAAAACCAGAGCAAGTGCAAATGCTAACTTACGCATAATGTTATACATTTGCTAGTTGTACTCGTTCAGTATCGATTCCAGCCCCTGTAAAATATGCTGATTTATTAGCGTTTCGTGTAAATTTATATATAAACAGAAATAATCCATTAAACGCGTAAGTGGTATTTTTATGTTTCTTGATATGTCTCTATTATTTAACATTTTTTTATTTTAGACAATCAGATGTTTCAGAACCTGCTATTGCAGTGAATCAAACTGTCAATGTCGATGATACGATAAGAAGTAAACGTATTGTGTTAAGTTCCAAATTGGGCCAGGATTGCCTATTCTTTTTGTGAATATATATTTATTTGTTTGGTTTTGTTTTATTTCTCAATAAATATTCTCAAACTTGTTGAATTATAAGAATGATGAAGTGCTTCAGTTTATCGATTTGTGATTTCTGAAAACTACACGGTGTGTTCAAAAAGTTCCCGGACTGATTTTATTAAAAACTAAATGTGGAAACCTCGGATTTAAATCCAAGTGTTATGTGTACTTCAAAAAGTAAACAGGTGAGTCATCATAGCATGTGCAGACATCAAAATCATCCTAGCAAGTCATTTTCCTTAAAACTTGTTTTCTATTGGTTACTGTTCAACCAATAGGATTTCGAGGCACGTGGAGCTCAGATTCAAGTTTTCCGTCCTAGAAAACCTTTGTTCAAGTTTGATAAAACCTCGAAATATCGCTTCTCTGATTGGAAGATGGGGTTTTAATTTTTGATCGATCACAGCGTGGACAAACACAGAAGCAATTTCCGTTCAAATATCTTTGCAATAGATGAGTTAGCCTTCTTGTTTCTTAATGTTTTATATACTATTTTGTAGCTCGTGAAATTCTCTACCGGATGGTATATAATAGCATGGGATTTTGTTTGATTATGAGAGGAAAAGTTCTTTTACGAAAACCGAGATAGGTCAATAATCGCATAGAAAAGCATAGGGAAAAATCACTTTTTTTGCGATAACTCAGCAATGGCTCGACGAATCATTCTCATCTTCGAACTCGGCCAAGACATTGTTGAGACGATACTGTGTAGAAAATTTCACCAAGATCGCACTCTCCTTTCACAAGTTATCGTGTAAACGGCCGGACGGCCGGACACACTGACCGATTCTAGAGTGTACTCTCTTTTTGAGTACACAAAAAGAAGATACCTATTGCTTTTGGTGAAGTTAGACAAACTATCAATACACCAACAGTCATTGCTAGACTAGTAAAGAGACCAAATGCATCCATAGCTATTGTAATTGGATGTGTTGACCACCAGGAATCTGTCCTAATGAAAACATTATGAACATATATTATGATGATTAAAAAGAAAAGAAAGAAACATATAAAGGTGTTGGAATCATTAGCGAAATCTTCATTTTGTTAGTCACATTAATAATTCTTTCTAAATCACATCGAGTTTGTGTTGAGTTTTTGCATTGTTGATTGTCAACTTGAGGATGTTGTTCAACTGAGATAGTACCATTATCTATAGAATTTTCATGCATCTATAGCAAAAAAAATCTCAGTGAACAAGAGACAGGTTTGGGAAATTTGTCGTCTCTGCTTAAAATAATTATCTTTCAATCACTGTCTTAATTATTATTTGTGTATTTTCTATATGAAATAGTTGCAGTTATTTGATAAAATTTCTGTAAAAAAAGAAACAAATCAATTTGTTTACTGATTTTAATTTCCAACAGTAAAGTGAAGAGAAACATTTTGTTGGAAAATATCACTTGAGTATTTTATCCAGATTGTTTCCCAATAAACTGAAAGGTTTCGTGTGTATGAAACGTGAATTATAAAAAAAAGTTTGAAATTTATTGAAATTTGAAAGTGCAATGTACATAGAAAATAGTTTTGAGTAAGAAACTGATGAGATATGCTTTCCCATAGTTTTTTTCTTTCTTGTGAACTTTTTTTCATTTCTAATTCATTTGTTTTCTATTTTGTCTATCATGTTACTCTCTTTTATCAATACAAATATACTTTATTCACTAGATGAGACATTCTATTATCCACTTGAATCAAATATATACCCGTAAGAAATGCGTATGCTTCGTTCACTTTCGAAAAATTATTGTTTTTGCCAGCATACTTGATTTGGAAATTGTTTTGCTTTCTTCTATTCTCATGTTCGGAAAAATAAATGAGTAGAATAAGAAAAAATCATTATATATTATCGATACAGTGACTTTAAAATTTAATAAACAGAAAAATCTTCTACAGAGAAAAACTGTTGAAATACTAAATTTGACTAATCTGTTTGTAATTAAATCTTCTAAATACATCTCTGAGTTGACCCAGAACAGTTTTTATTAATCTCTTGAATATCATAGAGTATTTTGCATTAGTGACAAAAGTCATTATGTTGATAAAAACTCTATAAGGATTTGTCTCTGCTACTTTTCCGAAATACGAATACAACCAACAACCGAAAAGAAATGAAAAAGTTATAAATAAAAATTGAATCGTAATGATAATGCAATAACAATTTATATTCACATAGTAATATTGAATAATTGTCAAATGTCTCTATCAATAATATTTATTTTCTTTAAATTATTTCAATTTTAAATATAAAATGAACTCATTAACATTGAAAACACTTTACTTGATCTCGATATGAATATCTTTCACTTTTTGTTAGAATATGTATTTTTATTGATCAGCAAGGTTAACGTTATATCAGCAGATTCTTTCTTGTAATGACTTATGATTTTGATGATGTTTTATTTATAGTATACATGTTTTTGAACAATCAGATAATAACAAAATAGTCATGGTCTACTGATTTATTCTCATTACTAACAATTGTATTTGTATTTTGTGGAACTCACATATATTTTCGAAGAAAATAGTGAGTGTAAGTTTTAAGGTCAAATTTTCGCGACTCATCCCCCTCCCCTTACAGGCAGGCTCCCATTACAGACCATAGCAAAGGAAGAGAACATTACAGACACCCCCCCCCCCTATTACAGACGCCTCCCATTACAACACTTAGCAATCCAAAATACAAAATGTTAGATTTTCTAGAGCTTTCTTGGAAAATTGATCAAGTTATAATTTTGAAAAATAATGAGCATCATTATTTGCGACTTGATTAATATATATGATAGTGTGTAAGATCTGCTGTAGATATTATAGATTTGTAAAACACACTTATTTGTCAATCAATTCAACGATAATAATAATAAGAATGATAACTTAAGAAAAACGAATTAAAAAAAAATAAAAAATAATGAGCAAATAGCAAGAATGAAAATGAAAAATTGAGCGCCCGTAGAAAAAAAATTAACAAAATTGTTCGAAATGCAAAAATTGGAGAATTTTTTATTGCAGTGATTGATTATCCTGCAAAGCAATTATAGTTCACGAGAGATTTTTCATTTTACGTTTTTTTGTATTAATTTAATGAGGCTGTAAAGCATATGTGAGTTCCACATTTCAGCCCCAAAGGGGCTGCGCTAACAAGCTTTTTATATCACGTTCATATTATTTGTACATATATGTTCATATCATCTGAAAAATGAAACACAAACAGAAATATAAATACCTTAATGATACTAGTCATTTTTCTTTCCTATTTTTTCTCTAATCATTGGTATATTAATAAAGATTTTGATTTGTTTTTGTCTCTCATACGTTTATGATATGTGAATAAATCTATGTGAATCGATACTCAAAATAAAAAGGAGAAATTGTCTTTTCATTACAAACTCATTCAATCAATACAGAAAAAAGCATAAAATCCATATTGTGGACAATGATGTTCATAAAAGATCCATTTATTCTTAATAAAGATGCCTGCTAATGTTTAATTTATTTTAACTCAAGATTTGTTTGCAATGATTCATGAAGAAATTTTCTAATTAACAAATGTTTTTCTATTTTGTTATTGTACAATTTATATAAAAGACTTTTTAATGATGAATGGAATAACAACATTACTTCGATATGATAACTTATGCATGTACGCACATGTTTGAGTAGTTTATAATGAAGAAAAACATAGGATAAGACAAAAACCATCGTTATGTGATATCACTTTGATGTCTCTTCTGTTTTTTTTTGTCATGAGTATAGATTTTATTTTGAGTTTTAATCTTTATTTATTATGAATCACACATCGAAAAAATATTTCAAATATAAATAGGTAAATGTAATTTTATAATAAGAAAAGAAAATGCTGTTGGTTATGTAACTTTAGTATTTTCAACATGAACATAAAGATATTTTTCTATTTAAATTAATTAAAAATTTTAATAATTAATGAAATCAAACAAAGTAACTTTATTAAATAATATAATATGCTTGAGCAAAATAAGTCCGAAACAATTTAAAGAGATGAAGTTGAATATATATGCAACTTTTTTATTTTCTTTAATTTTATATTTTATCTTGATTGAAAATTGCTTACTATTGTTTATAACACGGAAGAAAAGAAAATAAAAAACTGAATGTATTTCTATCTTAATTTTCTTTTTTAAAAAGTAACTTTAATTTAAAAAATAATGTGCAAATAAGAGAAGAAAACATCTTGTCGGTTATCACTTTTTGATTGTGAGAAGTTCTTCAAATCTATTGCATGTTTGTTTGTTTTTCTAGAGCTGGTAAAATGTCAATTATGAGTTGTTTTAAGTGTTCGGCGACACCTTCGATCTGATAATACAAGATTTGATACGATCATATATGTAAAACTCAAAAGACTTTTGAAAGTCATTGAGTACTACAATAACTTACGTATGTAAAATGACAAACTCGTGATCTTCTGTTCCTGATTAAAGCATTTGATAACAGAATAAAGATGACTACTATTCACATCTAGTAAAACAAGTCGTTTTTACAAATATCCTGATTTCATGTACGAAAAGACAAAAAAGATTAATGTCGCGATTCCCACGAAAAACAGTTAGATAAAATTAAAATTTTCTATACTCTACTTGATGTCTATAAAAAGAGATAAAGTTTTATTTATGGCATTCTTTCTTTTCTAGCGACGTAACTCATTGGCTGAAGTAATATTAAAGTGTTTATGGCAAAAATGGAGTCATATGTGAATATTATGATTATGTTTAACAGTATTTTGAAAAGAAACGCTTGAAAAAAAGGTATATGCCTATTTTGATGGTACAGTGCTTTAGTTGAATTCTTTCCATTGTTAGTCTTTTGAAAGAAATTTATTTCTGTGATGAGTAATGATAAACAAGAATTCATCTTCTTAAACTTTTTAATTCAAGCAATATGCACATTGATTCTGTATTATAGGGTGTGGGTGTTGTAACCACTGAAAGGACACAAACTGTCACACCCACACCCACACCCTCATATGGACAAAAGTCGCTGCAAACAATTAATGAAATAGTTAAACAAAGAGTCATTAAAGTATCATCAGTAAACTAGATAATAACTATATTAAATATTTTTTAAAAGAAGTTCTCATTTGATCTCTTTTTATAAATGCATTACCTGTTCTTTCTGAAACCATCATGTTCCCTTCACATGAAGTTCAGTTACTGAATATCCAATTACATCTTGATTAGAACTAAATTCAGCATAAACTCCAAAAGCGTTACTTAAAGATAACCCTATCACAGAGCTTTGAATGCTATTTAATGAATTGGCATTAATAGATATAGAAGGATCATGAAATAATGATTCAAATTCATGAGATCTTACAATTACTTTTTGATTTTCGTCATGATAGTCAGGATTGACCAATGCATATCCAAATCCATAAATTAAATTGATATTTATATATACTATGAAGATAGAAAAAAATCTTTTCATTATAAATGAAAATTATTTCATTGATCAGATGTTTTATGAAAATTTATTAATTTTTCTTCTTTGATTTAATTTATTATGTACTGTAGCATTACGACATTGAAAAACATCTTCAACAGATACAGTAAATTGAATAAAAATTATTATTTCGATCGACTTTTTATCATATATTAACCATATGGTCATTTGTTAAAGTAATGAAATGAAAAGAAAAAGATAATAGATTCGATATAGATGAAGAATGACAAATCTTCGTTCCTGCCAGTATCTATGTCTTTCGATCTATTATCTTTTTTTGTTGTTGTTGTTCTTTCGTTATTTTGACAAATGACCATATGATTTACATATGATAAAAAGTTAATGGAAATAATAATTTCTATTCAATTTATTGTATCTGTCGAAGACATTGTTCAACATCGAACTATTCGTTACACCATATAATAAGTCAAATAAAGACAGAGTAATTAGTAAATTTTCATAAACCTGAATGACCTTCTTAATTAGAATACAATAGATTCAATATTTTATGTCTTTTAAAATTTATTTTAAATAATGAAAAATTCATCAGAAAATTGAAATCGAAAATATATCATTTTTTTGTCATGAAACAAGATGCTCAATAAGATAAAAATATTGATAGATTACATGCTTGAGAGTATGACAAAGGACCAAGTGATATTGCAACTTTAGAGTCTGAAATGAGAAACAAAACGAGACAACAATAAATAACAATAATTTAAATATTTTCTAAAGTTAAACAAATAGTAAAGAATAAAATGTTATATTAATTTTTACTCTTACATTCTATGGTATTATTATAGTTCTGACTTTTGCAGTACCGACTATTTAAATATTCCAAATCTTTTGTTGTATTCACCATTTTATCCGACTTGTAAGGATTTTCCAATTGTTGTAAAAAAAAAAGAATAAATATCAGTCAAAATCAATCGTTCGACAAATAGAAATAAAACAAATGATCATGAACAGCTAATAACACTGTAACAGTTAGATCTGAGTTCCTATATGAGTTTGAACCAGTTTAGTCTAATTTATTCAAAAATTTCTTGAGTAACTTCTTTGATATTTTAATAGAGATTATAGTTCTTGCTTAGAAGATTGTTTTCCATGTATATTCGGTGATCATCCTCCACAAATACATTTGAGATATAAGGCTGTTCGAATAACTTGGGCATAATCATTTTTATCCACGTTCGATTTTTATCCAAATACTCATAGAATTGATGGTGAAATTTTCTTTTTTTTTGTTGTTAGTAGTGATTGTACGCACTTGTGCTTTTTTTAATCTTGTTGATTCATAACTATTCGATTTAAATAAAAGCATAGCAAAACAAAAGAAAGGTTTGAGTGTCAAAAGTTCAAATTATCATTTGTTTTATTCTTAATCAATCGATATAATACCATTATAAAAGTCACTTTATCATCATATCAATATTGATATTCATTCCAATCGTATATAATTTTTAAAAAACATCAAAAAGAGAATTTGTATTGAAAAACAAAAAATAAAAAGATCTAATAGTGTGAAAATACGTTTATTTATCAATAAATTATCTAATAACATATAAATGAAGAAAAAATTATATAATAAGTTTTTTATCGTTGAAGAATCATTTGATTGATTGATCCTTTTTGAGGCAACATAATATGAACAGGATAAAATCCATTAATCATTCGTTCTTGTAGAGTAATGTCAACCCATTGATTAAATGCTAACTTTTTCAAAGTATGAGTTACACTAGTTGTATTTTGCTTGAGAAAAAAAAATTAATTTCATCTAATAAATATATAAAATAATTATTTTTAATTTTACTTACTGATTCATCATAACCTTGTAAACGAAATAGTTGAACAAATGCCGCTATTTTAGAAAATTTATTATTAATTTGTAATAATTCTGATGTATGAACAACAGTTTCATCACCACGATCGATAAGTTTGACAAATACTTTTGATTCACTTTCATGATGTCTAATTAAAAAGACAATAATAAAGAAAGAGATTTCTTAGAATGTTTTCTTTCAAATTTACTTTATTATAACACGATAATAATTATCATATTGTCGAATAAGGGTGTGGGTGTGATTGTGAATATTCACTAAGACTAAGGATCGAAGCCATACAGAAACTCAGACACACACACAAACTCTCCCCTCAGACCCACACCCATACCCACACCAACACCCGCACCCACACCCACACCCACAGACCCACGCCCGCACGCGCACCCACACCCACACCCACCAAGTATTATCATATATAGTTAGCATTACTTTAATAAGTATATATTGCTGTTTTACTTAATTCTTTATTTTTATATTAGTGTCTTTGTTGTCCGGTGCACGTAATAATCGAAATAGTAATTTATCTGAAAAAATATATAAACAAATGAAAGCCTTATTTCCTAATGCAAAAGAAAGTCTTGTAACCGGTGTAGTTCTTCTTTCAAATATATATTCGTCATTAGGAAAATATGAAGAAGCTCAACATTTTCGACCTAGGCAAATAGAAGAATTGGGAGTCAAAGTAAAAGTAGGATTATCATGGACTGAAATAAAAGGTCAAATAGTGGTAAAGTAGTTTTTTTTATTTAATATTTAAGTATAAGTACTTTGTTGATTATTTTTAGCGACTTAAAGCTCATGATCATTCTCATCCACAATCAGCTGAAATCTATGCTAAAATTGATCGTTTAAAATCAAAAGTGATTGAAAATGGTTTTATATTTGATTCATCTTGGATAACTCGTTCATTAAACGAAAATGAAACAATTGAATCTGTTTTATGTGGTCATAGTGAGCTGTTAGTAATCGCATTGAATTTGATTCAAGAACCTGTTCCAAAATTTATTCAAATTGTTAAAAATCTTCGTGTTTGCGGTCATTGTCGTAAGTAGATATTCTATTTATTTCATCTAACTCAATCGTCAACAATATACTTTTTTTTCTTCAAGATGAATTTACAAAAATGATAGCAAAAATCGAACAATGACATATTGTTGTTCGTGATGCTAATCACATTCATCACTTTTATCCAAATGGTCAATGTTCGTGTCAAGATCATTTTTGATTATTGATGACAAATTTATAATCTAAAATGTTGTTTTTTTTTCTAAATAGATTTCATTTATTAAGTAAAATTAAAGGGATTATTACGTGCACCGGACAACAAAGACACTAATATAAAAATAAAGAATTAAGTAAAACAGCAATATATACTTATT